ACTGTCTGGAACTTCTTCACCTTCATACAGTCAAACGTTCTGAAACTTCTTCACCTTCATACAGTCAAACGTTCTGAAACTTCTTTGCCTTCATACAGTCAAACAGCCTGGAACTTCTTTGCCTTCATACAGTCAAACTGTCTGGAACTTCTTCACCTTCATACAGTCAAACGTTCTGAAACTTCTTCACCTTCATACAGTCAAACGTTCTGAAGCTTCTTCACCTTCATACAGTCAAACAGTCTGTAACTTCTTCACCTTCATACAGTCAAACTGTCTGGAACTTCTTCACCGTCATACAGTCAAACATTCTGAAACTTCTTTGCCTTCATACAGTCAAACTGTCTGGAACTTCTTCACCTTCATACAGTCAAACATTCTGAAACTTCTTTGCCTTCATACAGTCAAACGTTCTGAAACTTCTTTGCCTTCATACAGTCAAACGTTCTGAAACTTCTTCACCTTCATACAGTCAAACAGTCTGGAACTTCTTCACCATCATACAGTCAAACAGTCTGGAACTTCTTCACCATCATACAGTCAAACAGTCTGGAACCTAATCTTTCATGATGGTCTGGTATGAAACTTGTCCTCCATTATAAACTGATACAAACTTGCCAGAATAGAGAGAAGGAAGAGCCAATATAATGTGATGGTCCAACACGTTTGAACATCCAAGCAGGTACACACATTGCATTTGGTTTACATTATACAATAACAATTTTGCACTTGTGTTTCACTTTGTTTCCAGTCACTTCATTTAACATCATATAGTCTGTAAAAATTTTTGATTTTCTCTCTAGATGATATCTAGATCAAAGCTCCAGTTATTAAGGAGACCTCTACAGTATAACTTGAGAGTTTAACCTGAATGTGTCATACCTGTTGAATGAATAATTTTTAATTTTGATTTTCCCATTGTGCACTCTATTGCTAGAAAAACACTCCAGGTAGATTTTTTAGTCATGCAAGTTCCCAAAAATTCTGAACATAAACATTTAAAAACACATACTTCTAAACATCAAACAAATAATATATACACAAATATAAATATCCCTAAGTCACACACAGAGTGAGAGACATTTGTAAATTAATGCAAAGTCATTACTACATTGTTTTTGTCTACAGTAGGAGGTCAGTAAAGTTTGAAAACTAGCTCTAGGAAAAAAATATCATATTTACAAAATGTTTTACACTGTTACACACATATATTAAACACTATTTTATCAGTTCATACATGTGGTCTTCTGTTACACACATATATTAAACACTATTTTATCAGTTCAT